AAACAAAACACACATAAAACCCCAATTTCTAGATATATTTTACTGATTATTGCAACTTCTTATGGGTTTTGTTATGATATTGTAATTCTCAGTACAATTTGTATACTAATTATTTACTGATCTCTCTCTCTCTCAATATATATATTTTGAAATAATATATAAATTTTTAATACAAAATTTCAGATACTTATGGTTATAAAATAGCACTTGATTTACAGTTATTTTACAGTTATATATTCTGCATAATATACAGTATAACAACAAATGTATATTCAATCCCTATTACCAAGAGTGTTTTATTTAATATACGACCCCCCATTTATAATGTATAATTCCTATACGGTTTACACAATTGTGTAAATTTAAACGGTGATGCCTATTACTAGCAATAAAGCATTTATTTGTATATATTAATAATTTGCACACAAAACGCACATTAATTTTATAGCAAAAACGTTTTATTATAACAATTTTTAATCTCTCTCTCTCTCTCTCTCTCTCTCTCTCTCTCTCTCTCTCGCACTCAAGACAACTGATTTAACAAATTTGATTGAATTGTCGACAACAACAAGCAATGGCCAAATTAGCGTCAATTCGTCACAACTATGTAAACCAAACCAAATGAGCGATGTATTAAACACGAAGGATAGGGGCAGTCGCGGGTCGTCCACCACCACATCACTCTATGAATACGATTCAATCAAATTGGATAAGGAGTGCATCGATGGCAAGGCATCCATAGGTGTGGCAGATCTGGACCGCACCGACAGCACCGCCACCGGAGTCCAGCTAAAGGACTACGATCTGAGTGAGTGTTTTGAACGGCATTTACTGTTCATCTCCTTTATTGCAAAAACATTCACTAAAAACACTAATTAATGAATTGGTATAAAATTTTCCTTGTATGGGTTTTGTATTAATTGGAGAATAGATTTTAGTTATTTAGTCGATGTAGTTAATTACCATTAGTACTGTAAGGCTGTATACAGTATTTAGAATGCTTTCATAAATTGAGCTTGTTAATATCAAATTTTTAAAAAGAAAAATTAACAATATTTTTGGCTTAGAACTTAAATTGATTTTATAAATAATTATACAATATTACAAAATAAATATAAAGTAATTATATTTATTATAATTATTATATCCATACGTGCCATAATAATAGACTTTGTAAACTAATAAATAACTTTTTAAAAATATAAAACGAAAGATTACAGCTTGTTTCCATGTATTTATTTTAACATAAAAACTTAAATTTTATACATAATAAAGTATATTAATCTCATGGTCCGATGATACACAAGATATTAATTTATTGAAATTTATAAATGAATAATTTATTTATTTAATGTAAAACTTACAGTTTATTTAAGCATAAATTAAATAAACACTCACATCTGCCTGATATTATAACAATTATAATTATAGCTTAAGTTGAAGATTTCTACCATAATAGTATAGTTAAACACATAAATAATTAGTTGATAAATGTACATTATATCATAGCGTATAAAAGATTAAATTACAATGTATTGTCTATGAGAGCATATTGGCAAAGCCTACCTTTTGAGACATCTAGCATTATATTATAAATTACAGTCTAATTAAATGTTCACTAAAATAAATTTTGCGCACGATAAATTATAACAATAAGTCATAGTATATACCACTCAACTAATTCATTAAATTACATAAATGAATATCTAATTAATTGTCTGCAAAAATTACAGTTTATTTGAATTAGTCGACTGTAAAGTAAAGTAAAAATGCCAATATTACTCTTCATAAATTAAATCAAAACACGCATTGAATCGGTTGTTTACCACTAACCCTATGCATTGAAACACTCAAATAAATATTTAATGCATTCATTGTATTGATTACAGTCTGTTTGGATGAGGAGCCGGAAGAAGTGCACCGGTCGTTGAACGCCTACCGGAGGGGTCCGCTGTGTTTCGACGCCAAATGCATAACATTGAAACGCCGTATCGGAAACGGCTATTTCGGTGATGTATTCCTGGCCACCATTCCGTCCACATCCAGTTCGGCGTGCATTCAATTGGCCGTCAAAATGCTTAAAAGTCACGCATCTATTCGTCAAAAGGTAAGCAAACATTTTCATTTCTCACATACACTTTAACCCCGATTATAAAGTTATTTACTGAACACTGTATAAACTAAATATAAATTTGTTAGAATATAGTAAATTATATATTTTTTGTGGTCGTTTTGGTAATTTATGCTTAATTTTCCGGTTTTTGTGCAAGGTGATTAGTTCATTATAGCGAAGTGTGAGCGTATTGTTTTACAATCGTTGAAATCGTATATATATTTATTTCTGGTTTGGCAATAATAAATGTCATTACCGCGTTTATTACAGTTCATTAAACAGCTTAATCAATGACAGTAATAGCCTATTATATGTATGGCGAATGTTATGCTATTTATTGGGTAAATATCTATAGATGTAGTGGACATCGAGGGAACAGTTATATTGTTTATTGTTTTGTTTGTTATTATGGGGCTAAATGTTTGCCCAAATCTTATCATCACTTATTATCTTTAGTACTTTATTAAACGCCGCGATTATTACTGCTGTTATGATTATCATTATATCTGTATATCAAATAAATATTGTTTTAATATATCGTGGAAAACAAGCTTTTAATATTATATTATTCTAGAGTATATAACATTTTGATTATCATGTTGAATTATTTAAAAACACAAAATTGTTACCAACACAAATGTACCATAAAAACTAAAACTAAAACCACCATGCTCACTACTCACAGGCGGAGATACTACGGGAGGCGCAAGTAATGTCCAAACTGGACCACAAACACATCGTGCGGCTGATAGGGGTGTGTTCGGGCGACCCATTCATGCTGGTCATGGAGTTGGCACCGTTGGGACCTCTAAACCGGTACCTGTGCGAGTCGGGCGCGCACATGACCGACGAGACCTTGCTCAAACTGATGCACCAGGTTGGCCAGGCCATGCGCTACCTGGAGGACAAGTGTTTTGTGCACCGTGACCTGGCCGCGCGCAATGTGCTCTTGGTGAGCGAACGATTTGCCAAGGTGAGCGATTTTGGCATGAGCAGGGCACTTTCCATTGGCAAAGACTATTATAAAGCGCGTAGCGCGTCCAAGTGGCCGCTCAAGT